AAAAGGGGGAAAATTCCAGGATTTTGGGAGGGAAAATTCCAGGATTTTAGGGCTTAAAAAGGGGAAAATTCCAGGATTTTAGGGCTAAAAAAAGGGGAAAATTCCAGGATTTTAGGGCTAAAAAAAGGGGGAAAATTCCAGGATTTTGGGGGGATTTTGGGAGGGAAAATTCCAGGATTTTAGGGCTAAAAAAAGGGGAAATTCCAGATTGTGGGAGGGAAAATTCCAGGATTTTAGGGCTAAGAAAAAGGGAAAATTCCAGGATTTTAGGGCTTAAAAAAAGGGAAAATTCCAGGTTTTTGCAAGAGAAAAAGGGAAAATTCCAGGATTTTAGGGCTAAAAAAAGGGGAAAATTCCAGGTTTTTGGGGGGATTTTGGGAGGTAAAATTCCAGGATTTTTGGGCTAAAAAAGGGAAAATTCCAGGATTTTAGGGCTTAAAAAAAAGGGGAAAATTCCAGGATTTTGGGCTGGAAGAGAGGGAAAATTCCAGGATTTTAGGGCTAAAAAAAAGGGAAAATTCCAGGATTTTAGGGCTAAAAAAGGGAAAATTCCAGGATTTTAGGGGTTAAAAAAGGGAAAATTCCAGGTTTTTGCGTGAGAAAAAGGGAAAAATCCGGGATTTTGGGATGGACGGGGAAAACTCGGGATCGGGATTGACTCGGAGCCGTCGGAAATGCGGGAATTCCATCGAGAAATCCCGAGAATTCCTGGAATTTCCCCCCTCCTGGCCAAAGTGCAACGAACTTCGGGAATTTTAAGGCTCATTATGGACCATCCCAAAAAATCCGCTTTTTTTGATTTATTTTTCCCAAAAAAACCCCAAAAACCCCGGAATTCCCGAGGGATTTCAGACCCCACCCCCCCAAAATCCGGGAATTTTGCCGATGGAACGAAACCATTGGAAAGGCACGGCGGTAACGTGGGAAAATCGGGAAAAATCCCGCGGGGTCGCCAAAATTCCGGCTTTTTTTTTTTTCCCCCCCTCCCAAAAAAAAAATTCCAGGCAGGCTCTGGTTATTCCCAAAAAAAAATTCCAAAACACCAAAAAAAAACTGGGAAAAGAGGAAAAGAAGCCCCGAAAAATTCCGTATTTACAATAAAACCTTTTTTTTTTTTTTTTTCCGGTTTTTTTTCCTTTTTTTTGTAAAAAATCCTTCCTATAATTTTTTTTTTTTTTGCTGTTTTTCCTTTTTTTTTTAAAT